TTCACCCATCAAGAGGAAGAAAATGCTGACATCCTTAAAGAGGCAGAGTGTAGATGTCGCTTTTATCCAGGAGAGTCACCTCACAGACGCTGAACATTTAAAATTACGTAGACCTGGGTGGGCAATGTTTTTTACTCGTCATACTTCCAAAGCAAGAGGCGTCTCCCTGCTTATTAATAAACACCTGAACTTTCAACTAAACTCAGTTGAAAAGGACAAAAATGGCAGATTCTTACTTGTAGATTGTGAAATAAACAGAAATAAGATAACTTTGGTAAATATATATGGGCCCAACTACGATGACCCTTTATTCTTTAACAACTTAATTATGAAACTGGCTACAATTGAGGGCCAGTATATTGTGGGTGGAGTCTTTAATTTGGTCCTAAATCCTTCTCTGGATCGGTCCTCACCCAAAACATCTTTATTATCCAAGGCAGCAACAGCACTGAACCAAGCTATGAAGGATATAGGCATAACTGATGTGTGGCGAAACCTTCATCCAGGCCAGAGGGACTTCCTTTTTTCACCAGTACATAATACACGCTCTAGAATTGAGGTTTCTTGTACCACAACATATGACGGCAACAGTGATAGATTGCTCCTACTTAGCAGCTACTTTTTCAGACCATAATCCCATCAAACTCTCCTGGGCTACCAACATGTCACAACCTGTAACCCACAGGTGGAGGTTTAAAAGTTACATGCTACGAGACTATTTCATATATGAACACTAATATTGAAATATTCCTAGATGCCAATTCAAATTCCTCTTCACATGCCAATATCTGGGAAGCTCTCAACGCCTATATGAGAGGTTTGGTTATGTCATACGGTGCCAATAAGGTTAAAAAAGTTAGAGAGAAGATAACTAAATTGGAGATTGACATTAAAAACTTGGAGCAGGAATATATTGCTACCAAAAAGGAAGAATACCTCAATACATTAACAAAAACAAGGATGCAATATGATAATTTATGCACCAGCAGAGCGGAAGCAGCCATGGCAGGAACTAAATATCACTACTACGAATATGGAAACAAGACAAGTAACTACTGTCCTGGCAAATTAAGAAAGAAACATCTGATAAATTTATACGGACAATATCAACAGAAGATGATAAACTTCTTGATGAATCAGCGCCCATAAATGCCGAGTTTAAACGGTTCTATGAAGATTTGTATAAATCTGAGCGAGGGGTCGACAGTCAGTGCGCCCCAGGGTGGCTGTGGCTACAATGTAGCTGCCATCACCAGTGTGTGAATGTGTGGATGACTGGATATGTAAAACGCTATATAAATACAGGCCATTTACTGCTGCAAAAAGATTTATAGATGGAATAACTCTTCCTAAATTACATAATGAGGACAAAGAATGGCTTGATGCAGATATGTCTGAGGTTGAGGTTCTCCGAGCCCTCAAGTGTTTACAAATTAATAAGATTCCCAGTCGATTATTATAAGGCTTTCTCTAATAAATGATTGACACCACTTACAAATATGATTAAAGAAGCTTTAGAAAATAATAAATTACCAGAATCATTGGAAATCGCATCAATCACAATACTCCTGAAACCGGGCAAGGACAAACAGATGTGACTCTTACAGACCCCTCAGCCTCTTAAAGTAATTGCACTCAGACTACTGGAAGACATCATGCCTAAGATAATACACGCTGACCAAACAGGCTTCATTAAAAACAGGCACGGAGCAGATAATGTGCGACGTTCGCTCCATATACTGAACACTGCTCCAAAAAACCAAGACCCCCTGTGTGCCCAGGAGATATTTTATTTTGTATTCTTATGACCACAGTTATAATCAGACCTATCATTGATTAATCATTTACCATTGTTGAATCAGTTGACAGAATAATCTTTGAATCACATCTATGTTACTCTGAGCAAATATTAATGCACACAGATTATCAGTACTCTAGTCAGTCTATTGTTGTTCTGTATGATTCTTTCTATTTGCTTAAGCAGCTAACCGTTCGGACTGGTGGGTCCTTTTGGACCCAGCCCTGTGTAACAGGCACTTCTGCACGTACTCAGGCCTGTAACAACGTGCACACACTTATGTAAGACACGCACGTTCACACACACACTTAGTAAGAATAGGAGGGTCGTCTGAAGACAGTTTTTCTAATAGATACACTTTCACAAAATGCACAATGTAATACACACTTGTTTTTCTCTAAAAAGTAGCAGTTGATGTCCATATTCAATTCAATTCAATTCAATTTTATTTATATAGCGCCAAATCACAACAAAAGTCGCCTCAAGGCGCTTCATATAAGGAGAACTTGTTGAGTGGGGGGAACTGTTATCATTTCCAGTAAGATCTAACTATGACGTCATAATGACTATAAAGCTTTCTGTCTTTGTGCAAACGAGGAAGAAGTCCGGCTCTTCCCACACTGTAATGTGTGTTTTAATAAATGATCTGCGCTGACCCAAACTATATCCCAGTCGTAGTCTCTTCCTCAAAATCCGAACCATGACACCTGCTAACAATCTCCATGGACGCTAATGAAGCATGTGACAGGATTGAGCCAAGCTTTCTATTTCAGGCGATGGAAGCCATGGGCTTTGGAGAGAAGTTCACCTGCTATGTTAGGACACTTTTTAATGCCCCCAGAGCCAATAGCACAACAAATGATGTGCTCTCAGGCACTTTCTCTTTAACCAGAGGCTGCAGACAAGCTTGTCCAAGCTCCCCTTGCTCTTCGCGATTGCGATTGAACCACTAGCCGCTGCCATTCGTACTAGTGCCTCCATATCTGCAATCAAATTTGGCACAAGTGAACTTTCTCTATACACAGATGACCTCCTACTGTACATAACGGACCCTCTTAAATCAATTCCCTCCTTAATGAAGTGTCTTAAAGAATAAAGTGCAGCCTCAGGATACAAGTTAAACTACACCAAAAGTGAGATCGTGCCATTAAATATACAAGACAGCCGTATTAGAGCTCTGACTGACCCATTACAGTGGCGTAATAATGGCTTCACGTATTTGGTATACAAATTGGTAAATCCGAGGATCAAATATTCAAACTAAATTATATCAAACTGTTGGAGCAAACCAAACTTAATATTCAGAGATGGATGGATTTTCCATTATCTCTCATAAGCAGAATTAATGTTATTAAAATGAACACTTTGCCTAAGTTCATTTACTTACTTCAATGTCTCCCTACAAAGGTTCCTAAAAGTTTCTTCAAAGAGCTTCATAAACTTATAACTTCTTTCATATGGCAAAAGAAAAATCCAAGACTCAAACTCTCCTCTCTGCAGGCCCCATATTCAAGGGCAGGACTTAATTTACCAAACTTTAGGAACTGTTATCTTGCCTCCCAGTACCGATCAATTTGGATCTGGCTGCATGCAGAGAGCAGTGGGGTTCGATGGATCCCAATAGAACAACATGAGGTGAACCCCCATTAAAAGATGATCCATTTGTAGGTACAAACAATGTCCAAGCTCACAAACTATTTGATAATAAACACCTTCTGCGTCTGGCAGGAATCCCCCTCACTTCTGAAAATAAATATCTCCTTTCTTAGAAGGACACCCCTATGGGGCAACCCTGACCTCTCTCATCATATTCCTGACCCAATACTGCAGGGATGGAAGGACAGAAATATTCTAACTGTTGCCGACTTATACAGTAATGATTCATTTATTGACTTTCAACAACTAGAGGAAGAATTCAAACTCCCAGGACAAAGTTTCTTCAAATTGCTACAAACAAGAGAGCGGGTCAAGGAGAAATCCAAAGGGTTATTCCCCGAGATACCAAAAGAAACTCCTCTTGAAACGCATCTTTGCACCAAACCATGGAAGTCAATAAAAGGAATAGCATCTTCTATATATGCTATTATCAATGAAAAGTTACCTGACCATAACAAAGCGTCTATAAAAAGAAAATGGGAGACAGACCTGGGCCATGTCTATGAAGAGGTAGAATGGCACCATTTATTGGAACAGGCACAGACCATGTTAATTTCTACAAAACAGGCAAATGCAATTTAACATACTTCATAGGATATATTATACCCCTTATAGGTTACATAAAATTGATATTAATTATTCCCCCAAATGTTTGAGATGTAAGGTGACAGATGGTGATCTCCTGCACATGCTGCCCAGTGATAGAAGAGTTCTGGAGACGGGCCATTGAAACAATCTCAAGGGTAATGGGGACCCAAATCGGACTGGACCCAAAACTATGGATTCTAGGTGACACAGGTTCTATCAACATGAATTATCATAAGAAATATTTTATTTTACTTGTGAGTACTGCAGTGAAAAAATGTATTCGGCTACATTGGGAAGCTGAAAATTCCCCAACACTGAGACACGGGATTAATGAGCTACTGCACACCTGAGAAGATATCGCACAGTGTAAAAGGGAAATATGGAACCTTTGAAAGAATCTGGGGCCCCTTCCTGGCAGTACGACCGTCTCTGGACCTAACAGATCGTGGAGGTGACGCAAATCCCCCCTGGGTCTGCCTTGAGCTGAGCCCCGGTTGGGCCCTCCTGACTCGATTTCCTGAATGCTGCAGTTTTATCGTGGGGGTGTTGATTCCTGTGCATGAGAGTTTCTATAGATAGGTGGAAATATGGGCTGTCTGGATACACGAATGTGATGAGGTTGAGAGCCATACAGGGGTAAAGGGGTGGGGGGATGGTGGGAGGGGTTCACATGATGGGTTTTCTGTTTTGGTCACTTTTTTTTTGAGTTCTTTGTTTTTAAAATTCTTTCTGTAATTATCAATGTTATTATTATTATTATTATTATTATTGTATTTTCTGTGTTTGGTTTTTGGATGTCTGAGGTTATCCTTGAAAGGCCCTGAGTGCACCTGGGACTGCTTCTGTGGTCACAATGACCTGCCATGTTGTGGTTATTTGTTGATACTTGCTCTGTCCCATAGTTGTGAGCTTTCTGTTTGTTTGTTTGTTTTTGTTTGTTTTCCCAGGAGGGACTCACCCTGTTGAACTGGGCCCAGGATATGGTCATGCTGCGGTAGTCGTCAGAGTTGTTGCTGCTGCTTGAAAAAGCCTTCTGTGCAAGAAAGACCAGGTTGTCGTCTGACAGGCCACGCCCACTGTGCATCTCTGCCTTGTATTTCATATCGAGGGCCTCGCACAGCTGGGGCCACAGCACCTTCTCTGGCACAATGAACGGCACTCTGCCCTGATGAGAGGAGGAAAAAAGTTTAGCTTCCAACTGCATTTTATTTGTCTCCACATATTCACTGTTTATTTCAAAATATGTGGATTTATTCCAGGTCACAGAATAACACTGAGGCTGCGTGAGGACACGTCCGAGTATTTGGACAGCAGTGGAGCTCTATGGCAGAAAGAAACAGGACGAGATGGGTTAGTCAGCCTGGCACAGGTTCCATAGCATCATTAGTCTGTACAGAACATAGTTCTGTAGGCGTGAGGCCTTCCCTTCAGCAGAACCCCCAGTTTGTTGGCATTTCAGCTACATCTTATTTAATATACAGGCTGTAATTCTTAAGCTGTTCAAGTGAATTTTTTGTAAAATTCATTTGAACAGCTCAAAGCCTGCTCTTCAATCACAAGTCTGCTGTCGTGGCCTGCAGAGGAAAAACAACATAAATCGTGCTCAAACATTAAAGAGGGCACTGAGGTCACCAGCCAACGAGGGGCGGCCAACCTACCGGCTCAGCAAAGGCGTTGTCCCATAGGACCGTAGCTGTTGCGTTGTTGTCCTGGCTGCCGTGCACAATGACGACCACAGGCAGGGACAGAGTCTGCAGGTTACAGAAACACACCACAATTCAATTATAAACTCCAGTCTACTCTAGTAAATGTGGCTGCTCATGTTTAACTCATGTTTAAAAAAGATCAGACACGGAGACGGGGTTTACTTTGACGTGGAAGACCAGCTCGTTGCCCCCAATGCTAAACTGGGACTCAAACAGAACGGTAAACTTCTCCTCTGTCACGGACTCTGCACCTCGACGGTCCGAGCGTTTGATCCGCTTCAGTGACTGTGACACACACACACACGAACATTTAACCAGATTATCTGATTATAGTAAATGTTGTGACTCATAATCACATTCAGTCTGTCATTTATTTTGTCAGAGTGGATCTGTTACAGATGGATTTCCTCTATGCAGTCACAGTGAAGAGACAAAAATAAAAACATGCATATATCACATTTACATCTTCTGTTATGTCCTAAGTCATCAACATTTATGCATACTGCACTGTGCCATAGAAACCGTTTAGTTTGAGAGTGACATTGGTCAAGAAAAGGAGACGTGTACCATCTTTAATCTGTGCTGTGTCGCTGTGGTTGCTCCCCACAAGATTTCAGACCGACAGGTGAAAAAACTGCAAAGGGCCGCTGATGGAGAGCTACAAACCACCGGGAATCAGCAGCTACAATTGTTTTAAAGTGCAGTAAGGCAGCGGTCTCCAACCTGTTTTGCGCCACGGACCGGTTTATCCCCGACAATATTTTCACGGACCGGCCTTTAAGGTGTCGCGGATAAATACAACAAAATAAAACTAGTACCGGTGCCGAAAAAAAGAAGATTTATTCATAACACACGTGAAAAGACCCAGGAAAACCGAGTAAACGATAAAAACAATAACAAAATAACGCTGAAAACCACACATTTCACACCTGAGCCTCAACTCTCGTGGCCCGGTACCGGTCCGAGGCCCGGGGGTTGGGGACCGCCGCAGTGAGGCACTCAGCCACCAAGACTCCACTGCTGAAGACAAACATGTTGAAGTGTGTTTAAAGTTTGCTGAACAACATTTAGACAAGTCTGTGTAATGCTGGGAGAATATAGTTTGGTCACATGAGACCAAAACTGGACTCTTTGAAGGCTGTAAACACACCGTGTTTGGGTGGCTACACCCCAAAAACACCACAGCAACACTGAAGTCTGGAGGTGGGAGCATCCTGGTGGGGGGCTGTTTATTCAGCGTACAGCACTGAGACATTAAGTATAACTCCAGGAAGGATGAATGGAGACACTGTTGATTAAAATCTGCTGCCATCTACCAGGATGATGAAGATGAAACAAGGATGGATGTTTCAGCAAGACCATGATCTCAAACACAGCCAATGGAAACGGTTGGTTTCAGAGAAATCAAGTAAAGCTGCTGGAACGGCCCAGCCAATCACCTGAGCTGAATCTGTGGGAAGGATCCACGGAGCATTCGGGGTTTATAGACTGTTTGTGTGGTGAGTGGGTCAAAGTCATGAGCAATGATGGGACTGGTTTCTCCATACAGACGCTGCCATGAACTGTCATCGACAACATTTGTATAAAGTAATAAATAAATGTCCCTGTGTCACTTTGTATTATTACACAACTTCATCTGTGGTTTGATTCCTTTGCACGTCTGGATTGGAAGTGTTGTTACCGACATCGGGTGATAATTTCACATCAAAGCACCTTTAGAAATATATTTACTTAGAGAACTGCTGACGTGTTCAACGTTATTTTACCTGCTGTATATATATATATTAGTTGAACTACGTAATCATGCCTGCTTCTTTTCATAAATCACTAAACCAACGTGAGCCTTTTTCAAAACGATCAAACGTTGAATTATTTTCAGGACTTTAACCCTTTAAGTGCCAGATTAAACATTTGAACTACTGCATTATTTTTTTACCAAAGTTAAAAGCTTGAACACAGCCATCATGATCCCCAAATCAAAACAAAGAAAAAACCAAAACGTACAAAAATGCCCGAGAAACGCACAAGTGTAACAGCTTTATTTAGAGACTCACCATGTTTCTGAAGTGTGCACTGAGGGTGCCCGTGGCCTGGTGATACTCCATCACACAGTTGTTATTGAGGATTTCTCCACTGCTTTCACTGTTTAGGATTGAACATATTCTCACTGACTATTCTTCAAAGCAATGATGATGACGTTAAAACGACATGTTTATGTCACCTGTACAGCCTCACCTGTGCGTACTCTCATTCTTCAGCAAAGCCTTGGCCTGCTGCTCACTAACAATGACAGCTTTGACCTGAGGTGGGTTCATGTGGACGTTGAGCTTCCCGCCCACCAGGAGGCAAACTGTGGCTGCAAATTTGGTCTGGGTTTTTAACACTTGGGGCGGCTGCTTTTCGATGATGAAGGTGCTGTGAAGAAGAGCGATAATGACATTACAGACACCATGCAGGATAAGCAAAGGCATTAAGTGACACAAACTCGGTATGTAAACGTGGGTTATGTTTCAGAAAGTCACTGACAGATGGTGAAGTACGAAGGTCCCAAACACACGTCAGTCTTCTGTCCTGAGACGTGCTGTGTTGCTCCTGGAGTCAAGCTGAGCCTCTCTTCCTGTTTGGGCCTTAAGGCTCGTGACGCTCCTCTGAACATGACGACCGCTCTGGGCTATACTCTGCTTCAGGTCTTTCAGCCTCAGATTATCCAGCTCCTTACTGAAGCTGACGTTGGCATGTCTGTCACAGCGCTGAGTCTTGTCAACCATCAATATGTCTGGTTGACTGGCAGTGTGAAGCTAACACTTTCACAGGTGGACCCTATGCTATGTGACACATCGTGTTGTGGAGAGACGCGTATAACTCTCCAGTAGTCAGCAGATGTTTGTGTGGATCCTTCACTGTTAGGATTCTTTGTTGTCATTTTCAGTTTCTAGATCATTAGTTTCAGACGTCCTGTTGTACATCTTTTCCATCCAGGATCTCTCTGTCAAACTGCCTTTCTGCACCTGTGAGCCAACCAACACTCTTCCAGGTCACCCACTAACTGGAAGGCTGGTGATACCATCCCAGTCTACTCCAGTCTGCATGCCAAATATCTCTGGGCAAGATACTAAGCCCATGTTGCTCTCCGATGCAAACATCGGCGTATGAATGTTAGCTAGGAAGCGCTGAGAAACAGTGTAGAGTGCTCAGAGTAGAACACCACTACAGAAGAAACAGTCCATTTACCAATGCTTCATCTTGCCTACCAGCCTTTTTCTCCATGGACAGCTCTCTGCAAACATTCTTTACACAGTATACTTGGACATATTTTTTATTTTAATTAGTTTGAAAGTGGTGTTAAGAGTCTGTAACGCCAAGTCTCCACCTCTTACAATTGTCACCATATCAAGCTCTTAAGTTTCTCCTGACCACATCTGAAGTGGATGGAGCCTCTGTAATCTGGTTTGAATTTTCCTCACCTGGTAACCAGGGCAGAGATGATGTCAGTGATGTCAGCATTCAGTTTGCTCAGCAGCTCTACCATGGGCCCCGGCAGAGGAAGCTGCTGGGTGAGATGTTCACAGCGTCGGATCTGCTGTCGGTTCTGCCAGATCAGATCAGCCAGCTTCTCACACCTGAGCAACAAGGAAACGGAAGGATCACCAAAGATCACCAGCCACATACATCGAGCGGGGCGAACCGCTGATACTGTCCTTTACATCAGCGTAAAGGCATTTATCATAACATTTAACAGATGTTTGTAACATCAGAAAAATAAGATCAATTTCAACAGTAAGTCTCAGTTTCTTTCATGATAAATGTGTAAAAAGACAGAAGTCTGAGCCTGTCCTGTATTCATTCATACGTTTTTGTGGATTCACAGATTTATTTGTAACTGTAAATGGTAAATATGCAGAATCTTATAAAACATATTCTACTCCACCTGAGCCCTCAAAGAGCTTTGCACAACATTCACCCATGCAAGCACTTGTTTCTACGTTTAAGTGCTCATTCACACACAGTCACACTCCAACAGATGCACTACAGAGCAACTTGGGGTTAATATGGACAGAATGTCTTTTTTATATCATGATGACCTAAAAGACCTGCCTGACAGAATGAAACAGGTCAAACCACGATCCAAAGAAACAGATGAGAGCCAATCTATGAGTCTGGAAAGAGTAAAAAAGCCGTCTCTAAGGCTCTGGTACTTCACTGAACCATGGATAGAGCCATTATCCACACATGGAGAAAACGTGGAGCAGGTGTAAACATTCCCAGGAATGGTTGGCTAACCAAAGAGCACACCAATGACTTATCCAGGAGGTTACAGAAGAACATCATCTAAAGAACGGCGGGACTCACTGGTCTCAGTGAAGGTTAAGAGCTCAACAATAAGAGACTGCGCACAAGTTGGAGTGGCCTAATAAATAAAATCCAGTCTCAAATACGACCAAGATGCTTTAGCATGAACCATTCAGCCATTCATGCTGAAGAAACCCTCCAGTGTGTCTGTATTAAGATAACTCCAAAACTCCTCCACAGAGATGTGAAAGGTTAATTGGCTGTCAGCACAGATCTTGCTGCAGAGGCTGGACAACCAGTTATTAGCTTTAAAGTGCCAGCTACTCTTTTCCTACAGGGTCAGTTTGGATAAATCGAATCATCTCTATTTTGTACTTACTTATTTTCTGATATATATCTGATTATATTTGTCTTACATCAACATTTGTTTGATGACCTGAAACATTTATGTGACAAATATGCATAAAACTAAACAAACAAAGTAAAAAGGGGGAAAATCCTAAACTTGTGTGTTATGTCCTAATCACTGTCTTTACTGAACAACAACTCTCCACACGTTTACACTATTACAAAAACAGCTGTTGGAGTTGGTAAAATTATATTTTAATCCGTGAATGTAAAACAACAATTACCAGGACTGCAGAACATCCAGCCCCCCCTCATTAGGACCCCCATTGCCAGCCAGCTGTTGCCTCCTCTTCCACTGAATGAGCTCCTCATCCAGGATCACAGTCTGCTGTTTCCTCAGCAGGCCCAAGGTCTTCTGGTGCTGTTCTGCCAGGTCCTGCCAAAGTACAGCCACACACTGAGAAACAGGTGCGTATGAAAAATATAACTCTGTAAATTACAGATTAACATGGCGCCAGTGTGTCTTTTATAGTTGTGTGCTAAAAGCTTGACCCTTCATTATTCCCCCGTTTTGCTTATTAGGAGACTTTGACTTTGAAAGAATTGTTTAAAGACCTTTCAAATGTGTTCTTTAGACTGTTTTTTCACTTATCTGGATCATTCACTCCTAACATGAGAGAGTGTTGTCTCTACATATAACAGACAAACAGTGTTAAGTTCTTTCTTTAGGTGCTTTGCTACTGGCAGCCAAAGGCGGTCCTACCAAATCTCAAGCATCGTAAAACTGTATAAGCTCAGTTTTGCCTTATCAATTGTATTAGGCTAATATTTATTGATGTAGAGTCACACAGGCCTAATGGAGTTATTTTGTAATTTTGGCTTAAAGTTTAAAAGATAATTGTTCCTTTCAGGAACACTGGAGTTTTCCTTCTAGCCCACAATGGTTGAGGAGTATGATCGCGCTGAGCGCACGTGGTCAGATCTAAGCAGAGATCTGACAGCAGTTCACTGAATGGGCCGTGGGAGTCGTCTTCAAACCAGAGACAGCATTTTTTCATTGTTCTTATTTTTTAACTGTAGAGATTATCACAGCACTTACACAACCTGTATAGAAAATGTTGCATCTGGTCAAGTTTCAACTACATTTTATCTGCATGCGTTTCTTGTGCTTTGCTACAGGCTGCTGAAGCAGAAGCTGTTTTAGGTAGTAAAAGTCACTGCAGGCTGCCATGTAGCTGCTGCTGCAGCTCTTTCAGACGCGCCCCAGCTCGTCTCCTTGCACCACTAGATATATCAACGATATCATGGTATGACATTTTATATCAGGGATATTTTCATACTGGCATTACCGTGGATGTGACACAGCACGACCCTAGCTTACACAACTAAATGCACTGAGCTGCTGCCAAATGATTGCCTAATTAGATACCAAGAGCAACAAGAAATGGAGGGAGGGAGGGAGGGGGAGGGAGATCTTCTGATACCCATTCTGAAGTGTATGTGTGATGTGTCTCCATACAAGCCTGTATTTCTGTAGTGTGCTGGCCTCTCTGGCGAGCCAGGCCTCCACAGTGGCTCGCTTGCTCTGCAGGGTTGTTTCCCGCTGGGTGCGCTCAGTTGGAGCCAGTGAAGACAAGCTGCTCAGCTGGGCTGACGAAGCAAGACGTAGGAGATGTTAAACACGATCACAATTAATCAACACATGCAGCTTTGTACAAATGTGTGTGACGCAGCATCTGTTTCCATAAACCTGCTGCTACTTAGTCACCGAGAGCTGATTAAGATTTAAGTCAATTTATAGCCACAGATCATAGAACAAATGTTAGGACACTTTATCAAATTTAAATAAAAACAGAATGCAATGTTTTGGAAATCTAAATCCACATTTTATTACAAATAGAACAAAGAATATAAATCAAATGTTTCAACTGAGCAAATCTATGAAAAAATTAGCTCATTTTGAATTTGAAAAAACCAAAAACCACGCTGGACTTCAGAGAGGACTGTTGTCCCTTTCTTCTCTAAAGAGGCTTTTCGCTGCTTTGCCATATTTTTCATTTCATGGTGTATCAGATGTTTCGTGTCAGTCAAAGGTCTGGACTGCAGGCAGTTCAACACCTGCACTCTTCTATGAAGCTGTGCTGCTGGAACAGCTGCAGTGTGTGGTTCAGTATTGTCCCTCCCGCCTTTATTTCAAAGGCCTCGGTAGAGCAGCTCATCTACTAATCAAAGCTTGGTGGTTCAACTCCTGGCTGCTTCAGTCTGTATATCTAATATCCTATAATATCCTTAGGCAAGATACTTCAATGTACCCATCATTGAATGTGTGCACATGTTAGCACTTCAGCATAGAACAAAAGGACATGTATGAATGTGTGATGCCTTGCAGTTCTCCAGAGGCCTGGTAATGAACTCATCATTTGATTCAGGTGTGTTGACCCAGGGTGAGATCTAAACCTGCAGGATACTGGCCCTCGCGGCCTGGAGTTGCTCACTCCTGCTTTAAACCCTAACCTGTCACCGGCGATGGGTTGGGGTTTAAAGGGGTATAAACATGCTATATAAGAAACAGTCAATAGAGTCAGAGACAACAACACACAGACAACTTCTGCAAGTGTTCCTGAGTGCATGACAGTTTTATGACAGAATCATGTCTGTTTTTAATTCAGTGCTGTCTGAAGATCCACCACTCGCCTGATTGGCAGACAACCTGTTCTAGCACCTGAGCCGAATCATGAGTCTTTTGACAATATTATTACTAGAGATGGCACGATACCACTTTTTAATGTCCGATACCGATATCATAAATTTGGATATCTGCCGATACCGATATGAATCCGATATATTTTGTGATCAATAAAAATATTTTTTATAAATATATTGCTGCATTTTGTATAAGTTCATACTCACGTTTTTAAAAAAAAAAACAAAAAAAAAAAAAAAAAACAACAGTCTGATAATTTCACCTCCTCACTACGTACGACTCTGGATACTGTAGCTCCAGTGAAAACTAAGGACTCTAATCAGAAGTACCTGACTCCGTGGTATAATTCTCAAACACGTACCCTAAAGCAGATGACTCGTAATCTGGAGAGGAAATGGCGTGTCACAAATTTAGAGGATCATCATTTAGGCTGGAGAAATAGTTTGCTGCTTTATAAGAAGCCCTCCGCAAAGCCAGAACATCTTACTATTCATCACTGATTGAAGAAAATAAGAACAACCCCAGGTTTCTCTTCAGCTCTGTAGCCAGGCTGACAAAAAGTCAGAGCTCTTTTGAGCCAACCATCCCTTTAACGTTAACTAGTAATGACTTCATGAACTTCTTCACAAATAAAATTTTTATCATTAGAGAAAAAATTACCAGTAATCATCCCACAGATGTAATATTATCTACAGCTACTCTTAGTACCATTGATGTTAAGTTAGACTCTTTTTCTCCAATTGATCTTTCTGAGTTAACTTCAATAATTACTTCCTCCAAACCATCAACTGTCTTTTAGACCCCATTCCTACAAAACTGCTCAAAGAAGTCCTGCCATTAATTAATTCTTCGATCTTAAATATGATCAACCTATCTCTAATAATCGGCTATGTACCACAGGCCTTCAAGCTGGCTGTAGTTAAACCTTTACTCAAAAAGCCATCTCTAGACCCAGCAGTCTTAGCTAATTATAGGCCAATCTCCAACCTTCCTTTCATATCAAAAATCCTTGAAAGAGTAGTTGTCAAACAGCTAACAGATCATCTGCAGAGGAATGGCTTTATTTGAAGAGTTTCAGTCAGGTTTCAGAGCTCATCACAGCACAGAAACAGCTTTAGTGAAGGTTACAAATGATCTTCTTATGGCCTCTGACAGTGGACTCATCTCTGTGCTTGTCCTGCTAGACCTCAGTGCAGCGTTCGATACTGTCGACCATAATATCCTATTAGAGCGATTAGAACATGCTGTAGGTATTACAGGTACTGCCTGCAGTGGTTTGTATCATATCTATCTAATAGACTCCAGTTTGTGCATGTAAATGGAGAGTCCTCTTCACACACTGAGGTTAATTATGGAGTTCCACAGGGTTCAGTGCTAGGACCAATTCTGTTTACATTATACATGCTTCCCTTAGGCAGCATCATTAGAAGACATAGCATACATTTACACTGCTATGCGATGACACCCAGCTCTATCTGTCCATGAAGCCAGATAACACACACCAATGAGTTAAACTGCAGGAATGTCTTAAAGACATAAAGACCTGGATGGCCGCTAACTTTCTGCTTCTTAATTCAGATCAAACTGAGGTTATTGTACTCGGCCCTGAAAATCTTAGAAATATGGTATCTAACAGATTCTTACTCTGGATGGCATTACCTTGGCCTCCAGTAACACTGTGAGGAACCTTGGAGTCATTTTTGACCAGGACATGTCCTTCAACGCACATATTAAACAAATATGTAAGACTGCTTTCTTCCATTTGTGCAACATCTCTAAATTAGAAATATCCTGTCTCAGAGTGATGCTGAAAAACTAGTTCATGCATTTATTACTTCCAGGCTGGACGACTGTAATTCATTATTATCAGGATAGTCCTAAAAACTCCCTGAAAAGCCTTCAGCTAATCCAAAATGCTGCAGCAAGAGTCCTGACAGGGACTAGAAAGAGAGAGCAGATATTCTAGTGGCATCTCCTGGTTTCATCTTCATGTTTCGCCTCTCACCACATACAACAAACCGACATCATGACCAGCAGCTTTACAGCTGTGGCTCCAGCAAACATCAGCTGATACTATGTGGAGTTTGCATGTTCTCCCCGTGTTTGCGTGGGTTCCCTCGGGTACTCCGGCTTCCTCCCACCGTCCAAAGACATGCAGCTTGTGGGGATAGGTTAATTGGATTAATCCAAATTGCCACTAGGTGTGAATGTGAAAGTGAGTGCGAATGGTTGTCTGTCCCTGTGTGTTGGCCCTGCGACAGACTGGCGACCTGTCCAGGGTGTACCCCGCCTCTCGCCCTATGACAGCTGGGATAGGCTCCAGCGCCCCCCGACCCTGAAAAGGATAAGCGGAAGCGAATGGATGGATGGATGGATGAAGTAATAAGAGGAGAGGAGGAAAAATGA